GGGTCAGAGTAAATAGCTCGAGAGTGCCACCTAAAGCCATTTTGGTGCCATGTTTTCTAGAGAAAAGGCCAAAACATTTCAAACTGTTGAATGGTGATGAAAATGCTTTTGTCTTACAGTAAGATCACTGGTTTGACCCGTAGGTGGTAACCATGGTTACTTCTCTATGAAGTCTGAATGTTCTGCCTACGTGTGCATGGGTTCAATCCCCCAGTGATGTCAGTAGTTCTGTCTAAACTGACCTTGTGTGAGTCGGAGCGTGGTTCATTGTCTGTATGTGGCCTGTATGAGATTAACTGGAGTTAATCTCATAGAGGCCACGTATATATATGAGATTAACTATATGAGATTAACTATATGTGATGGACTGTGTGTGAACCCACCCCCACAGATGACCGCTACATATGGCTCCAGCTTTCCCCCACGATCCCAGAGAGTATTAGGAAGATGGCAGATGACTAGTCCAGATTAATTCAATTACAAATGTTAGAAAAGAATGTAAATTTTGCTTGGTTTGTCTGTGGCACAGAGTGATATTTTAATATTTTCTCATGAACTGAGAAATCTTTGGTACACGAAAAAAATGTCAATCTTTTGCGATTCATAGCATATAGAAATGTCAATACAGTTACCTTTTTTTAACTAAGTAATTGTTACGTCACATATTCTACCTGCATCCCTTAAGTCCTATCCGATCCCTACATTGTCCTGACTATTTACAACATTTCACAGCTATGCTAAGAGTTGTTGTAAGCTGCTGGAGTCCCATCACAGCCTAACATTCACAGGGAGGGGCTGGGGCCAGATCATTTTTTGCCTACAGCTGTACTTTTAACTCAGCTTCTCTCCGTTGTCTGTCTCTGTTTACGAGACCGGCTGTTTTCCATTCAAATGAGTGTGAGAGCAAACTGTTGCTTTTTCATGTGAGGAGACAATCGCAGCCCTCGCAGCGTCTTGGCAGCAACGTGTGTTGACTGTGCACTTTTTAATTCTTTGTTAAAAAGGCAACACTCGCGCCGCTGTCACAGTTGTAGTGGAGTGTAAACTGGCAGGAGTGAGGCTCGTCTGTGAGGCTGATTGAACGCACATTTCCCTGCAGAAGTCTGCAGCTGTGTTTGACGCTGACACGTTGCATTGCAAAGACGTGAGACAGTAGAACTCTCTCAGTACGTACTGAGAACAGAGAACAAATTCACCAGGGAGTGACAGACAACCAAGAGAAAATACCATCAGTTGTAAAACACACACAAACACACACACAAACAGAGCTGTTAAACTAACTAATCAGAGTCTTTGACCAGAGAGAGGATGTGTCCATGATATTCCAATCACTCCTTGAGTTTTCCCTCCAAAAAGGTCTGGATCTTCAGTAGATTCTCCTCCTGCTGACCCAGAGCCTCCAGCAGGATGCCCATGGGTGACCTTTTCAGACCAGCACACTCGATCCTGTTCTCCAGTTTGTTCTTCATGTTCCGGAGGCGAAACGATGCATGTGCAAATATCACTGAAAAGCAGATGGGAAAGCGACTGGTAATGTCGAGCACATTAGGCAACAAAAAAGGCAATAAAGTGTAAGTGTGGAGCAGAGAAGACGTTTGATGTTTTTTTTTTTTTTTAAAGAATCTTTTAGATGTGATTTAAAGACAAGTTTTCCTACAAAACTACATTCATGGTACAAAGATGCTGACAACTCAAATTTACAATACCTATTTTCAAACCAGATCTGTATCATTAAATAACATTTGTGTCCAAAGGCTGGCTCACAGACCTACTGTGGCACTTGGACGTTTGATGTGACCTGCAGTTTCCTTTAAAAGATGACGTCTCAATGACCTTACATCAGGGTCAGAAATGACCCCAGCTAACTGACTATTTCTGGATACTTTAATGCAGCTATTAGTAGCATACGTTTTACCAAGCTAACTTACAGCATTTGTTGGTCAAACATTTATTCCTCTAACAATTATTACTGCGTTGTCAAACATAGATGTTAACCTTTCTGTGTTATGTCTATAGAATGTGCCCTGAACAAAAATGGTGATGGAATAGAATTTAAGTTAAAATCCATTTGTATCAAACCTAATTATCAGCATGTGTGACTTTCACCAGTTTTTTTGTCTAACTTACAAGCCAGAGGTAAAGTGACTGCCGTCATGAACACCATGACACTGCCCAGCAGTGTAATCAACATGTAGCTGGCCACCATGATGATGATCACAAACGCTGTTGGGTTCTGCCTCTTAAAGTTGTTGATAACAGCTTTGTTCTCTCCCGCCCACAGAGACCCCATGAAGACGGCCGACACCACGGCCATAGCTGTGAACATCCCCACGGGGTTCAGGAACCTGCAGGTGGCGACACAACACACCACACAGCACAGAAGTTTAGAGAACCTTCAGATAACGAACTCCTGCATAGGCAGTGTTCCTATGTGTGGTTACTTACGCCACCATGTGGTCACATACTGTCATTACAAGAAGATCCAAGTTCTCAGTGTTACTTTCCAATGTGTTGTTCATAAAATAACATTTAAAAATATTTAAAACCCACTGCAACGACAACCTAGATCAATTGTCTGCTAATAAACAAAGAAGCTAATAAACAAGAACTCAAAATCTAGATGTTACATTAATATTTACTAACAGATAAAGTTCAAGTATTGTTGAATACAATAACAAATTTCACTGAGACTAAAATATAAAAATAATTTTAAGTAATTTATTTTAAACAGAATTAAAACCTGATTGTTTTACACAAGCTAAAGTCAGTTTTGTTTCCCAAAAACGTTCAGGGTCAAGATCAGGATTGTTTTGCTATGGAAACAGACAACACTTCTCCAACAAAGTCTAAACTGATTAAGCTGCTGTTCTCATAACTGTGCTATCTGCAGTGCAACAGCTGACTGAACAAATTATAGCACATTATGACACCACACTGATCAGTGGGAGAGACCAGGACACAGAACGTCACTATTTTTAGTAGAAGAACACAGTTCAAAATAATTATGAATAATTCATGAACTACAGATCATTGTTGACCGAATCTGCTCTGTATGAACTTGTCTGACAACCGACTGGATCTTCCAGCATCTGACAGATGTCCTGACTGGCATTGCCTGAAGCTGAAAGACTTGGAGCATGTGAGAACTTAACTATATATTTGTTTATTTGACTGACAACAAACCTGACACTTGTCGACATCACAAAGTTTTTCTAGGTCACATGGTTCTGTTTTAGGGCAGAAAAAAACAGGAAGTCATGTTTGAAGGTACAGCGTTTGACCTGTTAACAAGATCAAAATTATATTAACTTGGTTCTCTTCCCTAAGGCAGTGAGCAGGTTAACTAGAAACGGAATTTGTTTTCCAGACTGGGTATAGAAAGATACAGCGAAGACTTGTTTTTTTTACATGGACAAAACATTTGTGTTCTATGGATTGGACAAGTTCACACAGGTAGCTTTTTCTAGGGGGGAAACTGACATTACATTGTACGAACAAAACAATTACACTTTATTTAAAGTATAGTGCAAAAAACACGGTATGTTACAGTAAAAACGTACAGCAATCGAAACTGAGGTTAATATTGACATTTGACAGAACATACACTCTTTTTAAGCCCCTGTCTTTTCCTAAAACCTCCATGTGTTTTTCAGAAAAGAAATATATTCTATAAAAAACACAAACAGGCAACATTTGCATAAAAAAGCCATAAAGACTACTGTCAGAAAGTCAAACTGATACTGTTGACTTCTTTACACAAAGACCTGAATCAAATTGCTTAGACAGTTTAGAGAATTTCCTGGTTAAAGATGGTTATTCTTGGGTGAGCTTCAGATGTTTACGAAAGAAGAATGGGCAGGCAGGAAGACTGGGATACAGCTGAGGATAGGCAGTTGAAATAGCTGCAGTTGAGTATTCAGTAATTTTAAAAAACCATTAGTCTCTAAAGTAAATAATGTAAATAATAATGTAAATAAGTAAAACAAAGTTTAATAAATAATGTTAGTATGCTAAAAAATGCTGCTCTAAAGTCCCAGGCTATTAATACAAGTATTTACGAAGTACTACTAAACAATTTTCTTAGGCACCGTTTACTATTGTTTCCCATTATTTCCCCTTGTAATGGTGTAGTGTTTAAACTGGGACCTGGACAAAAAGGTTTGTAGGCTCTTCAGTGTTACAGCGTAAAATCCCGTAAACTTATATCATGGTGGTTTTGTTTTGACAGGATGTGTGCTATTTGACTACGGTGTGTTTTTCTGTTTTTTTCTTTTGTAACTTAAAAAATAGGTCACCTCCCAGTTTCCACTAACTAACGGGACTAAACGAGTGATGTACATGTTGTAAAGTGAACATCAATGTTTTTTAACAGTGGCTGTACAGATAATACAACTTTCCATAAGTCACCTACCCGACAATGAGGAAGACAACAACGGCTAAAACCAAATAGTTGGTCTGATAATAGAGCAGGTTGCTGATCACCCTGTTGTTCCATTTGGCTAAGTCTTTGAAGTCTGGTTTTGCGACCCGCTCTGACCCGGGGAAGAAGTCGTCCCACGGTCTGAGCGGAGTCAGCTCCACTTTAGCCATTTGTCCTGAGTTGTGGCTGCTGATCTGACAGCAACTAAACGGCAACAATACTGTGTAGGAAATCTCATCTCGCGAGAGCTAACGGAACTAGACGCAGCCTTAATGTCCCGCCCTGTGTATTTGCTTAAGCTTACGCAATTGGTCATCAACAGTGTGACGTCACAGTACCTTTGGCTGCTGAGCATGGCTCATGACTTCAAACTGTACGTACTAATGAAAGAACTGGCGATGATAAACGACAACTGTCGTTAATTATACTTATTCTGTTACTTAAATTGCGTATATTTGATTCATATCTAGTAGGCAGTGCTTTTATGCCAATGTTGCATTAACAACCTTACAGACGTAAACAGACATGGGGCGTTAGCTAGCTCAGAGCTAACAGACCGTCTGCATGCTTTTTTGACAGATGTGGAGCAGAATCCTTGGTGGTCCTGTAATCCGAGCAGCTTCGTGTTGGAGGAGTCTGTACACCATGCAACTAAAGAGCAGCCAGTTCCAGTCTCTCTTCACTGACGGACTTAATGGACTCGTAGGTGAGATACTTGCTGTGTCAGACTCTACAGTGTACAGTGTAGAGATTCTACACAGACCTACGTAGACCTATGTGTAGAGTCTACTCTACACAGACATCATTTATATGAGAAAGTTGGGCAGGTAATATACGTAACAACGCAATCCCAAACAATGAAATGAAAACCGATGCATATATCATTATTTCTTTTGGAAATTGAATTAATTTCCCAGCTCACCCACAGAGTTGGTCTGCAGGTTAAATTCTTATACCTTAATTATATGGCAATGTCACCCTGGGAGGAAATGCCACTAGAAATGTAAATATTTATTTTTTATTATTTAAACCTCACTAAAATAATTCAAAAGATAGAGTAACGAATAAGCTAGAAAGTATAGAAGATCTGTTATATGCTACATTAGAATGGGCAGAATATCACGTTACAGAAAGTATAGAACATTAGAATGGGCAGAATATCACGTTAAGTAGTAAAAACTTTTACAGGAACACTTGGGCTGTTAATAAATTCAATTAACAGATCATCAGTAAAACAGATTCAGAAATGTTATGCCTGATTTGTTAAAAAATATTTAAAGCAATGATTTAAGAGTGCTTAATGTTTACAATTTCTTCACTATATATCAAAAAAGCTTTCTCAACTCTACATCCATGTGTTTTTCTTTCTGCAGAGCTGTTTGGAAAGCACAACTATGAGCTGAGGATAGCTGGAGGTGCAGTGCGGGACCTGCTGTCTGGGAAACGTCCAGAAGACGTGGACTTTGCCACAACGGCAACCCCTGAGGAGATGAAGCGGATGTTCCAAGCTGCTGGGATCAGGATGATCAACAATAAAGGGGAAAAGCACGGGACCATTACAGCGAGGGTCAGACAACAACAGTATATAAATATATATACCAGCACCAGATGAACCAAGGAGTTTTTGAATCAAACCAATCACATTATTTGAATGTTTTCCTTTTTTTTAATAGATACACAATGAGAACTTTGAGGTGACCACCTTACGTGTGGACGTTCAGACAGATGGCCGTCACGCAGAGGTTGAATTTACCACGGACTGGCTGAAAGATGCTGAGAGGAGAGACCTCACCATCAACTCCATGTTTTTAGGCAAGAGTGTACCTTTTGACTGAAAGTTACCTTTTTTTTCTTTTTAAATGACGTTTATACAATATGTTCGTCGACATAGATGTAGCTGTAGTGTACTGCTCGTATCAAGCTCTGGTATTTTTGTGTAGGTCTTGACGGCACACTGTACGACTATTTCAATGGATACGAGGACCTGCAAAACCGTGAAGTTCAATTTGTCGGCAGTGCAGAGCAAAGAATCCAGGAGGACTATCTCAGAATACTGCGTTATTTCAGGTTTTTATTTAATTTTATTTTCAAATATGTCATGGTGTTTTTTGTTCAGTTAAGTGATGAATTCTAATCATATTTATTTTTCCTGGAGAAATACCATGTGTCAGTTGAAAACTACATTTTTTACTTAGTCGGCAGAATAAACTGATAAATTAGTAAAAAGAGGAGACTTTAAACTTCTAAAAGGTAGAAACTAAATCATGTTTCTCTTTAAATGTGTTAACCTGAATTCTTTAATACAACCCAGGTTCTATGGCAGAGTGGCTTTAGAACCTAAATGCCATGAACCACAGACACTGACGGCCATCAGGGAAAACGGCCACGGGTTGGCTCAGATTTCAGGAGAAAGAATTTGGGTAGAACTCAAAAAGATCGTTGTTGGAAACCATGCTGCTCACCTGCTGGAGCTCATGTACCAGCTGGGTCTGGCCCAATATATAGGTAAGTAGTGATGCATTTAAACAATGTAACATAAAACCATCAGCTACAGATCACTGACTGTAAAACACCAGCAGAATAATTAACAAAATGTTTTATCACCAAAAACATATCTCCATGTACTTACAGCAACTCCTTTCTTATTTGTCAAGGCTAATTTTTCATGAAGATGGGGCTTTAGCAAAAATGACTTGATGACAGTCACATAATGTCACAAGCGATCAATAGTTTGTCTAAATCACACCAAGACATTAAACGTTCTCTTAGAGCAAAGTAGTAAATAGCCTCTCCTTAGATCAAGTACAGCTTGATATCTTCTAAAAGGGATCATGATCACAGTATATGACAGATTTTTTTTTCTAACCTGGTTTGAACAAGAGTCAATGACACTTCTCAGTGACACATGGCCTGGTTTTTATTCTTTGACTAATCAATACTACATTCAGTTTTTCTTTTTCTGCTGATCAACCTCCTTTGCCATCTCCCCTTCTTAGGTTTGCCACTAGATGGCAATGTTGAGGAGATGAAACAAGTGTGGCAGAGGGCTAAAGACCACTCTCCAAAACCCATGACCACGCTGGCTGCCCTGTTCAACTATTTGCAGGACGTGGAAAAGATGGACCTCCGTCTAAAAGTCTCCAAAGAGGAGAAGAATCTGGTAGCATTTCTGATCAAGTACAGACGTGAGCTCTGCAAAGATAAAGACAAACCCGACAGCCTCAAACCGTTCACCGACTTCATCATTGATGTGAGTTTTTTCTACCAATTTATCCTGCTGTGATAATAATACTTGTTTTTTAAATACTTTTTAAAATTCTTTTGTAAAAATGGTTATCAGTGATTTTTAATTAAGCAATCCAGTCACAGATTGATCGAATTAAATTGTTGTTTTGGTCAATACTTTTACTTCAGATGAATCAACTTTTTATAGGTAAATTAATCAGCACCAGAGTGTAGTTTTCAGTGGAAGTAGGTTTAAAAAACACTTGTCCTTCCCTGATTTTGCTGCTTTGGTTCTGCTTTCATTCATCGCCTAAAACTAAATGCAACATTTAAACTAATCTGGCCTGGAAATGATCAGCCCTGAAAATCTGTATTTCAAAAACATCTCAACAAGGACCCTCGTCTGAAAGTCAAATGTGGTCAATGTGAGGTTCTTCATGGCATGAATAAAACAAACCAGGACTGGAATTGAATGAAGAGTCTTTGATTGCACACACATTATTTTACCTTTTATCGGGTTTGACTTTCAATCAGCCCCACAGATGTTAAGTCCTCCTGTAACCATCACCTCCCCACTCCCACTCAGGCCAGTGCCACTCCAGGTCTGAGTGGGATTTTCTGCTGAGTACTGTAGCTGCAGTTCCCATAATCACAGTGTGGGTGATTTTATAACAAAGACCAACTGGTGGAAGGACGGTTAGTGCGGTGATGGGTCATGGGTAAAAGGCCCTGATTTTTTTTTTTCTTTTTGGAGTCCATTTGGGATTAGGTTAATTGTTTACTAAATTAACCATAAGTTGTTTTTTTTTAAAGTAAAAAATTAATAGATAAAATTAAAAACACCTGCAAAAACAGCTTTTGCACTAATACGCCCTCAGGTTTTAACCTGAGGGCGCATTATTATTAATTATTTCCTCATCTGTTTTTTGTTATGGGTTAATTATAGTTTTCACCGTTGTGATGAATTTTGCAGGGACAGACAAGGTGTTTCATGAATGCTTAATGTTTCCAAGGTCAAGTTAGCAGCAAGTCTTAAGTGTAAATATAACCTTTACATCTACAGTCGATATACAATCTAGTAACTAAAAAAACTCATCATGGGTTTGCGCTGTATAGGAATTACACATTGATCTGTGGTCAATATCACCATGGATTCATAGCAACTACATAGTTGCATACAATTACCAGTTAACACAAAAGTGCATTGATCTGCACAACAATGGACACACATGACGGGTAGCATTATAAGCCCAGTGCAGTCGACATATTCCAACTCCATCAGATTTCTCTGGTAGTTAATAACTGTAGTTCAGTGGCTCACACAAGTATTCAACCAAACTTACATCAACTTCGTACACAGTTCTGTTGAGGAGAAAGACATTTTATGGTAAAGCCACAGTCAACAGGTCTTATTCTTTTCTCACTTCTTTAAAGTGAAGATTGGTTGGATCAAACATGATGTCACACAGGTCTCTGCACCAATGGGACAGCAGCAAAGCTGTTTTATTTTTCTATTTATTTAGTGTCTGGAGGCTGTTGTCACCACATCAAACCACACCCACTCTGCCCACACAGAATGACTAAATCATATGACTGTTTGAATTTTAAAGGTTTTTTTTCTCCCTGCTGTTCCCTTTTCTTTTCATTGTTGCCGATCACATTCATATCCATAATTACAGACCACAGCCACAATGTTAACCATTGCTGCCTCTTTACAGAATCGTGAGCTGGATACTCAGAGCAAAGTCTGTGAGCTGCTGAAGTATCAAGGTGAAAAGAAGCTGCTAGAAGAGCTCTGCAGATGGACCGTACCTCGGTTTCCCGTCAGTGGCCATGATCTACGGAAACTGGGAGTCACGTCGGGCAAAGACATCGGCGCCACCTTACAGAATCTCCGGGACATTTGGAAGAAAAGTCATTACCAGCTGGACAAAGATGAACTCCTGAGTTATGTAAAGCTGTAAACGGACACAAATACAAAGACCACTTAAATCCTGATTATGTGCTTTCCCATCACAGCTGTCACAAAATGACAAGGCGGCTGATTAGACACGTGTGTTACCATGAAGCCCAGCTGCCTGCGTAAGGCGCGCTGACAAACGGCTAGAATTACTGAGATGCACAGCCATTTTAAAAATCAAATGCTTATTTATTCACTTGATGGACAAGTGGGATGGATTAGGTGTTTATGGGAATTTAGTTTGACATATATATATTATTGAAGAAAACGTGTGGTCTTTGGACAAGTGGGATGGATTAGGTGTGTATGGGAATTTAGTTTGACAATATATTATTGAAGAAAACGTGTGGTCTGAAAATCAAAAGGAATGAAAAAGAGAGTTGAGTTATTAGATTTATTTTAGGTTTTAAAGAGAACTTCTGTTTTTTGTTTTGTTTTTTTCAAAAAGTGGCTCTGACAAGAGTTGTCCAGAACAGCTGTAATTATAAAAAAAAATGCACCCTAACCCGATGGGGGTCTTTCTGTTGTGGTACTTTCATATAAATGCTCAAAATATGTTTGCAAGTAGACTAAAACATTGTCAGCTCAGTGGTAGAGGTATTTCTTTCTACATGCAAATGATGATTAGTGTGAATCATGATTAATTATAATTAATTACAGTCTCCATCAATCCTGATTGGCTGATAAATTTGCTACTGACCGCAGATTCAAATAAATGAATAGTGTGACAGCCTTAGTTTTCACACACACCAAATCGTGTCTTTGGTGAACACAGCTGATTTGGTCGTCCTCCAAAGCTCCTGTCAGATTAGTCAGCAGTCCTTGATCATGTAGACGACTCGGCTGATTCACCCTCGCACTCATTCCACGTTCAATATTTTCTTGCCATCTGTCAAAGCTTGTGTTCTGTAGACGGATCATCGTTGGTAGTGAAGGTTTGTCAGGACAGTGTCACGGTGGAGTCAGTGGAGTTAACTGAACTGTGGTCATATTTACATTTCAAACGCTGTCTGATTTTAATGACTTAAACTAACTTTTGACAGGTTTTGTCATTTTGGGTCACGCATTAGAATGTGTTAAATGTTTTACATGATCATGTTATTTTGATCTACAGTAGCTCTGTCGATTACTATTTACTTATTACTTATTTCAGTCCTAAGAGGTTACATTTCCAATTTGCCTTAGATGTCTTTAATTTGCTCCTGGACTGTAGTTCTGGTTATGTCATTACGATGGGAAAAGAAATACATAATATTGACTTTACATAATGAAAACAAAAAACTTGATACAGCGTGTAAACGCTTTCTTTACAGAAAGTGATTTATGTTATGATATTTAGAGCCAGGCTGGAGGCTAAACACGAGGTGTAGAAATAAAGAAGCCTGTGTTGAAACTGTAATTGAAGTTCACCGTGAACTGTTGTTTCTGCTGATATTTCTGGGCTAAGATTTTTTGAGACTTTTTCTGAACCCAAATGTGATGTGGTGGTTATTTAATTTGGTGAGATCTTCTTTCCAACTATGAAAGGAACAATGTCGTCTGTGCTTTGAGAGGATTGCTCCTCCTCCTCCTCCCACTCCTCACCCACTCTCCTGTGTAGATGGGGTATAAAGACCTCTTCTCTTCGACACTCTGCCTGGAGACCCTCAACTTGTCCTACTTCATTCATCACTGATCCTTTTCTTTCTGGATTTTCCCCGTGACTTAAGTTGGTACCAGACACTGGTTGCTGCTGAGATGCACGGTCTTCTCCTCACATTTGTGCATCGGCTGAATCCAGCAGGAGTGATGATATAAAGGGGTTTAGTGTTGTGATGAGTGTGGAAGCATGGCTTGGCTGAGCGCAAACCTCAGTAACGTGACTGTTGACGTCTCGGTGAGTGAGGATGAGCCGCGGGACGAGCGCCTGGCTCAGGTGGAAATAGTTCTTCTCTCCATCATCTTCATCACCGCGGGGATCCTTAACGTCGGGGTTCTGTTGTTGCTGTGGAAGCGGAGGAAGCAGCTCTGCAGGATGCGCGTCTTCGTCTTCCACCTCTGCGTCGCGGACCTGGTGGTCACATTCTTCCAGGTCTGTCCGCAGCTCATATGGGACATCACGGACCGATTCGTGGGTCCCGATGTGCTCTGTCGAGCAGTGAAGTACCTACAGGTGGTCGGCATGTTTGCGTCTACTTACATGATAGTGGTGATGACCATAGACCGATATCAAGCCATTTGCAAACCTATGGTGACGTTCCAGAAGCGCAGGGCGCGCTGGAATGGCCCCGTGTGCGCCGCCTGGTGCGTCTCTCTGGTCGGCAGCCTCCCGCAGGTGTTTATCTTCTCTCGGGTGGAGGTTGCTCCGGGTGTGTACGACTGCTGGGCGCAGTTCATCAAGCCGTGGGGTCCTAAAGCCTACGTGACCTGGACCACGCTGGTGATTTTTGTGCTGCCTATTATCACGGTGATCGTGTGCCAGGTGCGCATCTGCCGCACCGTGCACCAGAGTTTTTCCACGAAGGCGCAACACGTCGGAGAGACGCTCAACAAGACGCTGTCCTCCAGAGCCAGCAGCGTCGCAGGAGTGTCCAAGGCCAGGGCCAAGACGGTGAAGATGACCGTGGTCATTGTGCTCACCTACATCATCTGCTGGACGCCTTTCTTCACCGTGCAGCTGTGGTCGGTGTGGGACGCAGCGGCACCCACCCAGAGTAAGACCCCCGGGGTTGTCCACATGAGCATCATGTCAAACAAAAAACACAAAACACACAAATATCCATGCAAAAGTCAGAAGGAAATTGGTGCAAAATGAGAATAACACCTGCTTGAACAACATTCAGGTTGGTTTTTCTGTTGGTGAGACAAATCAAAGTATGGCCTGCGGCCCTGTAATGGCCCTCGCCCAGGTTGTGTGTCAGTAATGTCAGTAATCGTCTTCTAGGGCAGACATTCAGGGAAAATAGTTGTGTTTGTGATCCTGCAGGTCAATTTTTTTTTTCAAATCTGTGCCAGAGTGGGGTAAAATTAAGACTAATTTGTCATTTTATTTTAGTCCTATCAACAAGGGGAGCACTGCGTAAAAAGTTTGAAAACCATTTCTTTAAGACAAGAGCACAAACCTCCATGTAACGTGTACTGAACAGCACTGATAATAAATACTCACAGAGGAACACCTCAGTGTACTGTGCATCAAAATCCTCTGAAAAATGAGCGCTGGTCAATGCATCCCGATGATGTACTTTGACCTGTGACCAGAACCGTTGGGGAATAAAGGGTTAATTCGAGTATTGATTTTACTGCAGATGGAGGAAAAAAATTGTTGTTCACTCCTGAAACGGGAGTGAGGAGTTCATCCACAAAGGCAAAAAAACCCAAACAGCTACAGTGACTGTAAAAGAATAAGTAGACAAAGACAACTAGTCTGTGATGTGTCTGAAGCACTAACAGCTGTCCAGACATGGACTTCGATTGTATTGATTTTCATTTGCAATTGAATAGATGTGGGGAGACTCATTAGTCCTTACAGAGGAATAAAATGCCACATTGCAGGACAAGATAGAAGACACGTGCTCCAGTGTGGAAGCATGATTCTGGGTCGCTGATGAGAAAAAATAAGGACTCGAACTGATGCCGCAGTTTGGAGTCAGAAAGTGAAACACATATACCTCACAGACTGTAATAGTAGGAATCACCTCCTCAGAGAAGCTGGAGAGAGTCTCAGAAGAACATTGGACTGGGATTGGTCAGAAAGCTTGACAGTTACCTCATAGTTTACACTGCCACCGATAACTGCAATCTGTTGTTCAGCAAATAGAGAAAAACAACAATAGAACAAAAGAGAAAAACTAGAAAAAAGACTGGACTATTGGGATCTAAAGGACTAAAAAATCTTGAAACATTTTTTATTTCCCCCTCAGAATAATAATTGTAGCTCTTGGAAGTTAAATCGCTCATGAGCTTAAACTAGGTGAAATCATTATATTTTTTTCACCTTTCCAATCAAACATGAATGGAAACAAATTCTATTTGTCAGCAATAGGTAAAGCCCCAGGTCCCTCTTGGTTTTAAAAAGGTATTTCAAAGGAACCTCATTTCATGTCTTATATTAAAAAAGGAAGCAGCAACTTTATGTCAGAACCAATAAGCAATAAGCTTTAATAACCTGTACTGATATTCATGTAACAGCAGCTCGTATCATGTGTGTCCTTCAGCGGTGAAGAATCCTCATGAGCTGTTCGTTTCTCTTTTTACCTTTTCACCAGCTGCGACCTTCACCATCCTGATGCTGCTGGCCAGTCTGAACAGCTGTGTTAACCCCTGCATCTACCTGCTGTTCAGCGGGATGCTCCCCAAGCGACTGGTGACCGTGATGTGCACGAGTGAGCCCGAGCTGAAGGACTCCATGCAGGAGGACGCCACCATGGTCAGCTCCCTGTACATCAGCCTGAAGGGCCTGTCAGTCAACAGATAGAAGCTGAGAAGCTCCAGGACACACATCCCACAGCAGCAGTACTGGAGGGTTCCAACTGTGTGAGGTTGGACTTCTGAGACTGCAAAATGTAAATGCAGAAAATGAAAAAACAAACAGAAAAGAAACACTGTCAAATAACAGGCAGCATAAAAAAATAATAATTGTTGAACATCGTTTTTGTTGAATTTCTGTTTTTTGACTCAGATGTGTAATTGTGCTGTCAAATATAAATAGACTTATATGTCTTGTGTATTTATATATTTATATATGTATATATAATCATAGTGTTTCTGTACGACACAGGTATGTTTTGCTGTGTTAATAAACTGTGACTTCTCATCTTCTCTGTTTTCCAATCTCTTTCACATGTGATGATATTTTCAAAGCTCTGTTTGCAGTCTTTTTTTTTTTTTAAAAAAAGAAGTCACTCTGTGACGACAGCACCAGCAAGAAGCACTCTTTTGGAGGGAAAGTATAGAGTTGGAAGTCTGTAATTTACCAGTGTCCTAATAGCAGCAAATGGCAGTTATACGGGAGCTCGGGGGGGGAGAGGTGAGAGGCCAGGACATATGGCGATTCTCTCAGAAATGAAATGCTGAGACAAATCCAGCAGAAATCTCTCAACAATGACTCATGTGCACCGACCATCATTAGAGTCTGTCAAACAGCTGCCTGGGACTCAACTCTGACCTTTTACGCTAATAAAATGACAAATAGCGTGTCCAGCTGTTAGGCACCTGTCGAGGGGGGAGGAGATGCTGTGGGTTATTCGACCCACGTTGGTCAGTGACAGGCATTATAGCTCATTTGACCCACGTCATTGGTATTTGCTCAAATGAAGAAAATCATTTTGTTCAGTGAGAAAATCGAAGGGTGTCATAAAAATGTGATAGAAATAATTTCCTCAACCTGCGTTGATTCACTTGGAAAAATACATAAAGCCATGTCTTTTCTACATTTCGTCCATTTATATTTAAATTAAGATGCTATATACACAATATATACATACAATATAGAATTTTAGTTTTTTTTTCTTTTCCTTTAAGTCATCATAAAACATCCCGTGTCATTACTGCTTTTTTGTAATCTGGCTTACTGTCCAATATTTGGCTGATTTTTGCTAACCTTTAGCTTTACACGCTATACCACTATATATATATAATAGGCTGTATGATATCTATACCCTCTATCTTTTACACCTTTTATTTTTTAATATTTATTGCAAAACAAATCACTGTTTGGGTTTTTTTTTTATTTGACTTAGACACAAGTGTCTCCATGGCAACAGAGGGAGCATAAAACAGCAGGTAACTTCACAGTCTGACTGGGAAACCTGTTCCCACATGTGCGTCATTATGGGACACACTGACTGAACCTAAATCAGGCAATCAACGCAACCGGCTATCAATGCAACACTTCAAAGTTTTTTCCAAGCTAATTACCTCATGGAGTTGATTTTTTTTTTTTTTACAGAATGACAAAAGAGTAAGAACATTTTAATTTTCAGCTACAGATGTCTCAGTCTCATCTGAGTCTAATAGCTGCTCTGATGAATGGACGTGTCCATCAGGGCCCAGAGACATTAGAGACTCAGACCTATTCCTGGATCTTAGGACACATCATGTTTTTTAAAAAAAGGAAAGTGAACTACGTGTTTCCGTTTTTTTAAAAAAGGAAAGTGAACTACGTGTTTCCACTGAACACAACCAGATGTGACCTCTGCTTTTAACCCATCACCAAAGTCAGCTAGTGGACTTGAACCTTCCGGACCCAACTTTGCCTCCTTAACCACTAAGCCACAACTGCCCCTAAGAAAATGACCTTGTCAGAAGTGGGATTTGAACCCACGCCTCCATTCAGAGACCAGAAATCCCATTTACAGGAAGGGGCAAGCCTTGAGTCTGGCGCCTTAGACCACTCGGCCATCCTGACAAGTGTGGGTTCAAAACGACACAACACAGCTGTTGAGTGACCTGTGGTCAGTGCATGCTGGACGTGACATTTTACTCATTCTGACACTCGGCTACATCTAAATTATCATCAAAACAGGAGTTGATAGCTCTGTTGCTAAGCAGTTATCTATCTGAAAATATGAAGCAATCTGCATATATTTACACATTACACATATTTATACGATAACCCCTCATGGTCCTCAGCTCTACCAAGGATCATAAAACAGGATTTAGATTAAATCTTCACAGACTAGCCCGTGTCACTGGCTGTAAACCTGGTAGCTAGTCCTGGAACCTTAACGCTGCTTTAGTTTCAGTCATTAAAATGTTAACAAAAAGTCAATAAAATGACCATTAACCTGAGACCTTTAAAGTCTCTGGAAATGTCGACATTATTCTGACCCCCCCCCCTGACCCTGCCCCCTCCTGCATCACTGCTGAAAGACCTGGATCTTCAGTAGACGACAGTGATATCATGCTGTTCCACCGTCATGAAGACAACAGTGATATCATGCTGTTCCACCGTCAGTGTCATCACACTCAGCTGTGTTCATTAGTGTCACTGGTGTCACCTGGTGTCACCTGGTGTCCGGGGTATATATACCTCTCTCCCTGACTCACTCTTTGTCAGATCCCTGTTCTGTTCACTGCGCCTTTCGTCACATCTATGCTTCTGTTAAAGATGTTCCTGCACATTGTTTGTTCCCACTGTCCTGTAAACTGGAGCTGTTTGAATCCACTTACAGTGGAGGAACCTCCTGCGTCCTGACCTCGGTCTTTGGAGTGCTGTGTTTGATTCCTGCCACAAACTTTGTGTGTTTTCCTGGAGAGGTCAGTTTATGTTGACAACTTTGGTTTGTCCTTTTTTTGATCAGTTCAGTATGTGACAGACTTCCATGTTCATGGAAATGAGGTTGTACCATATAAGTAGGCACTAATCTGTCATTTTAGGGTTAGGGGTTACAGACCCCTGACTGAGTGTATTAACACTGTGGAAATATTTGGGGTTATAACATTAGAAAATTAGATGATATATCATGTTAAGGTGCACAGATAACTAAGTTGTGGTTGATCAGGTTTGGACCTCGGAAGTCTGTCTGTGTTTGTTGTGATTGCGTGGGTTGATCTAAGTTTTTTTTTTTTTTTTTTTTTTTTTTTTTCAAATCTCCCCAGCCCCCCAGAGCCTGTTTTTGGCCCTTCACTCAAACGGTCGGGGCAGAGTGGACCCCACCTCATGTGAGTTTCAGACCCCTGCCTTAAGGTAACCTCAATTTTAGCCAGGGAACGCACAAGAAAACACCACAGGTTGGGTGTGAGGCTGGTGAAGCTGAGCACAGTAAAGGTAAATGTTGGTCAATAATAATATTGAATGTGTTCTCAGTGTGGACATGGAGGCAGACAGATGCAAACGGCAAAATGATGAATGTGTTTGACATATTTGATGACCCGTTAAAGGTCATTTCTGTGCAAAACTGACCTGTAAAATATGAGCAGAGGCGTTGGTGCAGCACGATCGATGTCTTACATGGTCGCTGCACAGCATGTCAACGTCACAGGAAGCTGTGACCTTGAACTAACGTTAAACTAAAATATAAACATAAGTCAAACTGGTCTGGTCTTATTGACCTCACTAACAGCACACAGTAACAAACAACAACAAAAATGTAAAAATATTAGCTAAGTTTTTCCCATGTTCTATTTGAACAGAACTGCCATACTGCCACCTACTGTACCAGAGTGTGTAATCCCATGGTATGACCACTGACTTTTTGAGATTACACAGCTCCTTACACCTCGATGCGGTGATGTATCGATTTTTAAGCGCCTCACGATGCATCGTTCCATCAAGATTTCAGTATATTCTGAAAGATAAAAGCAAACATAAGGTTCTCAAAAAGACTTTAATATGAGAGGAAGGCTTGACGTTAACCTTGGCACAGTGCAAGAGGAAGTTGAAGATCAATACCGGCAAACATGGAGATGTGACCACACACTTGAGATGTGTGGGATTAGTGAAGAAGAGCTGTGGTACGGCATATCAATAAGACCCACACTGTGATCAATAACAGATGAGATTCATATTGATGCAGTCATTTCATCAATCATTCTTTATCTTCTGCGACAACATCTGAAGATAAAAAGGTTCAAAGATGCTTTTTGTACATGTGGCTAATCAGTCTTCATGAAAAACGACTTAGTCTTGATGCATTTGGCTGTGATAAATAGGACCCATTTATATTACCTGTGTTAATTATGCAGAAGTAAAGTAGTCCATAATGTACCGTAGTGTCCTCAAAGTGTAGAACAATTCAGCAGCCCTTCATTTACGGCAGCACTATATGAGGGAGGGGGCGCTCTGTGTTCTGTTTCAATACCGGCCCAAAGTTTCTGCCTGTTCTACTTGTTGAGAAAATGCACTGATGTGGATGCAGGTGGGTTCAGGTTTGACATATTTAATGATCAGTTCAAGGCAATATTTCTGCACAACTGACCTTTGACCTTTGAGCACAGGACTTATTGGAACATAATCAGTGCCTCTGCCTGTCAAATCAAAGGCAGCGGTGCACCAATTTGCACCAATACATGATCGTATAAAATCCACATACGGTGTGTGAGCGCCTCCAGCATAATGAGTCCTGGGATTGAACCATGTACCATGTACCTTTGAGTTGTTGTTATTCAGAGAGGGCATCGGCATGGCTACTGGATAAATGCTTGTTTTCCCAAGTGAAACCACTGAGGTCTGATGTTGACGTTTGACACTGCTGGTGCTGTCCATTTATGTCTGAGTGGACGACGCACCCGCAGCAGAGTAAGTGGGTAAATAAATATACTTCAAATGTACTGAGTGTGTACTGACAGGCAGTAAGCCGTCAAAGGAGCCACCCGCTGTATGTGTGTGTGCGTGTGTGTGCTTCTCAAGATGGGTTTCTAACGCGTGTTCATGTCAAAGTCACCAGTAACAGCAGACCATATATGGGCAAATTCACTGAAGCCAACTTGTACAGGCGCTGAGTCGTGCCAAAGTAAATATAGAAAATTGGAAAACAAACAAATACAAACTTCACAGTCATGGTCTGTTGAAATATTTATTTAATTTAATGATTTTCTTTTTTGTTTTTTTGCTGCTTTTCTCTCATTGTTGATCCTGAGTTTCTTTCTTTACTGCAGATTTCCATAAGATTCAGAATGAGGGATTTGTTTGTTATTTCTTGGACTTTTCCGTAGCAGCTCACGGTCCTTAGATGGTAACACTGCAAAGGCGATCCAGTCAAAAAGGTCAGGTGAAGAAAGCCGATCTGAAGTAAAAACAATAATAAAAAAATTGCCACAAGAAAAAGTTGTAAACCTGAACTAAACACATGATAAAGGTCTGAA